CCATCCTTGATAAAACCCTCTCAAACATAGGACTGCCACAGCACACCCGCTTCATAACGCGCACAAGGAGTTGAAGCCTAAAAATTCAACGCAAAAATTCAAGTGGTGGCCATACTCGTTCTCTGGTTTTTCAGTGCTCTTCACTGGTCGTACGCGATATAATCGTCTATCACTCTCATAGGCTGTCAAATGTTCGAACACAATCACTCTTCAACACGGATGGAGAAGGTAGTCTCTTTCTACGGCCACTTTGGCCAAAGAAAGTACATTTGCTGTACACCAAAGCCGTTTCTGCGTCTCGGCAACTAAACTATCCCAAACCATTTGTCCGTAACCGCACCGTATTCATCCGCAAGCTAGCCAATTCCCAACCCATTCCCATTCTTTCAGACAATGACCTTAATATTCATCTACCTTCTGTTACATAATACCTATATTCTTTAATCCTACTCAGAGAGAACCTACTTAATATACACCTGATCATCATATTCATCAAGTGTTAATCTTATGCTGTATTGCTTCCTAGAATAATTTTTGACACTGTGCCTTTCTTAGAAGTAATGGTTTCTTGCTTCTATTTGGTGATATATTAATGCTAAACTATTTTCATATTATTGCAAAATTGCTGCTACATTAACACTCATTATAGCACATCATTGTATTTTTTTACGAGTGACGAAGCCCCGAAGCGTGACATCGTGAATGCTGTGTCCATGACCTGTGGCCGACCTATTGCCAAAAAAAGAGCAGCAGGATCACCGTTGGACCGAGGGAGAGTGAAGAAGCAAATATTCGCGACGCCCCTGCTGTCAAGGCAGCACTCGTGAGATCTGTCAATCCGGCGACACTTGGTGGTCGTGTGGAACGAGTGCACTACGGCAGCGGTGTGACGGTGGTGATTGAGGGCGAGAGACTGTGCACGGACACCTTTAGTGCTTGCCTGGAGCTTGCAGCTGCATGTCTGGAGGTCAAGCTGAGCTCGCTGCTGGATCCTCGTCTTATTGTGTGGTTGGATCCTTGTCTTATGACCAGCTGTGGCTCTGTCTCCCCCAGACGTTGCCCACACTCTGTCAAATATTTAGCGCCTCGTTTCGCGCAGGTGTCTTCCCGAGACTTTGGAAGGAGGCATTGGTGCGCCCGATGCCCAAGCGCTACCCACACCACGATGCGAGCCATTTGCGTCCAATAAGCATACTCTGCTCTATCTTGAAGATCTTCGAGTGTGTGGCCCTCAAGCGGATGAGCGACTTTGTGGAGGAGCGGGACTTCCTCGACGCCTTCCAGTCCGGCTTCCGGAGATACCATAGCACGCAGACTGCGCTCATGCGCATCGTCGACTGCTTGCGTGAATGGGTGGAGCGAGGAGAGGTCACACTCAAGGTGGCCATAGACTTCTCTCGGGCGTTTGACATGGTTGACGTCGACTTGCTGCTCCAGAAGCTGTACGCGCTGGACTTCTCGGACGCTGCCTGCGCCTGGCTGCACTCGTACTTGTCTGGATGCACTCAATGCGTGGTGGGACCTCAGAGTGAGCGATCCTGGCCCCTGTTCAGGACAAGGTCGGTCCCGCAGGGTAGTCCCTTTCCTGTTTTCGCTCTTCATCACTGATCCACCCCTCAGCCTGCCGACGCAGCAAATACCATCTTTATGCCGACGACTTCACCATCTTCTCGAGCGGCCCGGCTTCGGAGGCTGAGGCCATCATCTCGAAAGTCAACGAGGACATTGCGTGCATATCAGCCTGGGCAGTGGATAACAGCATATCAATCAACGTGAAGAAGACCCACGCTGGCTGGATTGGTAGCCGTGGATACATGGCGCGCATGCATTCAGTGCCGACCTCGCTGCTGATTCTTGATGGGGAGCTGATCAACCGGCGGAAAAGCATTAGGTTGCTTGGGGTCGTCCTGGACGAGACCCTGTCGTGGAGAGCGCAAGTCACCGGTACGGCAAACAGGTGTTTCGCTGCACTCGCTCGTCTGCGTCACCACCGTGACTGTCTGCCACGGGAGTCTAGACTGATGCTGGTGAAGTCGCTGATTTTTCAGCACGTGGATTATGGTGCCGGACTCTTGGCCAATTTATCTAAGGAGCTCACTACTAGGATGGAGAAATGCATGGAAGCGGCGCTGCCTTTCGTCGCCGGAGTGTCATGATTCGACAACATCACGCCATCTTATGTCAAGTGCGGGCTCTTCAAGTATAGGAGACGCTTGCTTTGTGCTTACTGGCGTCAACTCTAAGGCGGGGAGGTCCCGCCTACCTGGCCAGTTGTTTTAGCTTCGTACATCGTGATGCCCCTGCATCTCTCCGAAGGTCTCAGCTGGAGCTGAAAATCCCTTGGGCTGCCACCAGTAGCCTGCAGAACGCGTTTTTCGTACACACCTCCAGGCTGTGGAATGATGTGCCTCAGGACTTGTAGGCTCGGTACCGCAGCGAGACCTTCAGGACGTACCATTTCACCCAAATGCTTGGATGACGTGTATTGACTACCATTGTGAAGTTTTATTTTGTCTTCCTTTGTTCTATGTTTTATTTTACTTTCTTGACACGAGTTCATTGTACACACGTTGTATTTTTTTTTGTTGCTGTTTTTGTGCGTTGGATATGTATTGAAAGGCAACGCTCGCTTTTTGAGAGCACTCGCAGTGTGTATTGGTATTTCTCCTCACTGTCTGATACACGTGTGCGTTCTACGGTACTGTCCCTACTGACGCGCACTGCGAGTTGCGTTGACGCTTACAAAATTACTTATTATTATTATGATCATTATGTGAGGGGGTTCGTGAAACACCTTAGGACTGGGTACACGGTAGAATATAATCGTTTTTATTTTATTATTGGAATTTATCTATGTGAATGATTCATTAACTAATGACTCTAAACACAATAAGAAAGTTAAACCGTCTTCACAGGATATCGGTGTGTGTTAATAACAAGTTGGCAACGAATCGATGTTCTACAATAAGATTTTCACAGGTCGCGATACCGCACTTTTGTTGTTCACGAATTTCGCGAACACTCCCATATAAGCACGCTCTCGCTAGACACTCTCGTACAGCGTTTGTGTACTGCTGCGAGAGCCGTCGGCGGTGGGGCTTGGCTTATGACGCATAGAAGGAAGGAGGAGAGGCTCGTATAGCTCTCACCGCTGACTTGCCTTGTGAGGTTAAGCACTTGCAGTATTGACCACGTGCTTCACATGTGCATCTTACTACACGTGTTATTTTGCTGATAATGCACTTACAGGTTAAGCCTTGTGGGTCGCGTGTCTATCGTTGTTCACGACTTGATAGACGATATTACCGAATACTCTTATGGAGCGTATTAATGAAAATAGAACAAAAGAAGAATACTTGCATTTATGCAGAAATTCCGATGAATCTCTCACTCGGTCACGCTTAATTCACTCTAAACGGGCAGGAAACGGTGGTGATGCGCATGCGACAGTCGAGTTCTGTATCAGAAAGAAGGATGGCGTTGATACAGGCTTCACTACACTTGACCACACAAATCACCTTCAGCTCGTCTTGTGACGTGTCATACCGCTTCTATCAAACATACTTGCGCACGAATAAAATTGAGAATTGCTGAATGCGTCACGCAAACGTAAGGCATCGTGCTCGTTTGCATCAGCGATCTTTTACTTGAGATCACTTTTGCGATCGTACACACGATGTGGGGGGATCTGATGTGATAATGAATGGTTTCATTATCACAACAGTATAGCATACCAGCCCAATTAATAAGAGTAGCCCATTAATTGGATACTGCCCAGTATTTGCATTGCTGCGCATAGCATGGGTTTGTATTTGTCTGTTTTGTCAGAGACATTCCCATTTCGGTTAACCTTAAAATTACCTTATACCCGGGGGCTTACTTATGAGCCCGCGGCTATTCTAGAAGTTCACTTTAGATCATTAAAACATTGTTGATTTGAAAATAGTAGAAGGCCGAAGGAGTCCGGCGTGTGGCTTTTATAGGTGCGCGCTTCGCCCCACTCGTACGCTCGATGTTGCGGCGGCTCGAGAGCGCTGTATGCGCTTAAATGCGTGAGAAGCTGAGAGAAGCTGCGGGAACGCTACTTGGGGGGTCGAGCTCCTTGCTTTTGTGAACTTGACGGGGAAATCAGCTGCGATCATCGCGACGAGTGCTAGATGTATGCGCTTAGTGCACGCCTTATCAAGCGCACGTCGGAGTTTCGCTTTTTCTTCCTTGCCAACAGCCGTTCAGACCCTTAGCTACCTTGCAGTATATGCCTGTTGGTGTAATTTTTTGAGCCAGGCTACAGAGGGCCAGTCTGAGCCCTTAGCTGAATAAATTATACTCTACTCTACTCTGCTCTCTCTCTCGATTTCTCACACAAGCTACTCACACTCTCAAGGCACTCTCGTGCTTTCTCGCTCACAGCTCTCACTTGAACCCCTGCTCACCGTCACGTGTCTGGCACTGCGCGATCTAGCAAACTTACATCGATTCTCTTCCCGTGCGACGTACAAATTCGCTCTTCACCTTCGGTCTGGCTCTCGGTGTTGGTATATCTGTTGGCATGAACCTGTAAAAAAAAATATGCACAATATTAACGGATGTAATCATTCTTTAATTGTCAGTCTGCAACAATGATACTTTTCTATCTTGGCGCGGCTTCTTTGCATTGGCCCCATATTTGACAGTTTCGAACACTGCAGGTTATGTATAGGTTTAAATTAAAAGCCACCACTTTACTCTTCGTCAAAAACTAAATTAAACATAGAGTTTTTGATTTTTTTATTATGCATATGTTTGAGATTTTTAGAGGTTTTTATACTTTTGTGACACTCTTCATTTTAGTGTTTACATAAGTAGACACAGTTTCTTGTAAAGTATCTATCTGAATTGCCGGCCAGGTGCTACCGCACCTCTTGATTAAAAAATTTTTTTTTAATAGTTTTCTTAATTTTTGTATTAAATCTTTTTATAAATAAAAAAAATGGTAATGATACTAACATTCATTTTTTCAGGTTTAGACATTTAGATACAATGGTTCGGCTAAAATCAAATATATCCGCTCAGAAAGGTGATACTAAGGACGAAATATCAGAATTAACTTCTAATAATTCATCATTAATTACATTCTACAAAAAACATTGAACTTATTAAACCATTCGTTATAGAAATAAAATAGTAACATGACTATACATGTTTAAAGTTAATAACATTAGATTTAATTTAATTTAATATTTCTTAATTGTTAAAGTAACCCATAAACTATTTTACGTAAACTATTCGTCCTACATACTCCCTTTTAATAGAAGGCATTTCCCGTCAAGTGCCCGAGCGCTTCGCTGCGTGACCTGATTAAGCGAAATCACTCAATTTCTAATTCACGTAAAAAGTATTAAATGAACCGGAAGAAAAAAAAATTAACCCATCATTTTGATGGAAAACTACCTCAGCTTTCTGACGTTATGGTCAGATTTTCCAAAATTTTTCATCTTCATTGTACAAACTTGACATTAACTATAAAATTCAAATATCTCAAAAAATAAAAAATTTACATTCTTTTATGTTATGATCGAAACTAAAACTAATTTACGTCGAGACTTCTTGGGTTTGTCTTTGAATGAATCTATTGCATTGTCTTCTTTTATTTAAGGAAATACCTTGTAGAGGTTTTACTTTTGTCACTATTATTTTTTTTTTTTTTAATTTAAGAAAAACATCATACGTAATCGATGAAGATCTATTATGATGATGAAGGCCTCTCGGAGCGAAAGTACGGCTTCCGGAAAGGGCGATCAACGATAGATGCCATCGAAGACGTCATTTCCACCGTCCGTGAAGCCATCGCCGAGAAGAGATGGTACCGCGGCACTAAGAAGTACTGCGCCGTGGTGACACTCGACGTGAGGAATGCGTTCAATACGGTTCGGTGGGACAACATTCTGGCCGCTTTACGCCGTTTGCCCGTACCCGATTACTTGCTGAGAATAATTTCCAACTACTTCTCGGCAAGAGTGCTCGACTTCACCACGGACGAAGGTCCAGAGTCCTATGAAGTCACAGCAGGTGTTCCACAAGGGTCGGTATTGGGCCCGATCCTGTTGAACGTTATGTATGACGCGATCCTGCGTCTCAACTTCGATGGCGATGTTCGTATAGTCTGTTTCGCGGACGACATCGCAGTGGTGGCTGTCGCCAAGCATCTATGGCAGATCGAACACGATCTGAACGCTGCGATCGTATGGGTACGAGGCGCGCTCCAAGCTCTAAGCTTACAAATGGCTGATCACAAGACGGAGGCTCTGCTCATCACGAGTAGGAAAAAAGAGGAAACCATCACAATCTCGGTAGGCAACCACAGCATACGCTCGTCCCCCTCCATCCGCTACCTGGGCCTGCACATCGACGCCAAGCTGAAGTTCGACCACCACCTCCAAACAGTCAGCGCGAAGGCAGCTGGTGTGATCGGTGCCCTCACGAAGATCATGCCCAACTCTGGCGGACCCAAAAGCAGCCGACGCGAGCTGTATGCTCACGTCGTCGACTCCATACTCCTGTATGGAGCCCCCATCTGGAGCACAGCAGCACAAAAGCGAGTCTACGCCAGGCGGAGTCAGCCCACCGACGAGCCTGCCTGCGTGTGATCGGAGGCCGGCCGCATGTCTTCTACGAGGCCACGTATGTCCTTGCCGGCATACCACCGCTGGCCCTTCTTGCGGACGAGCGAGCGCGACTCTACGGCTCTACAGTTCTTGCCTGCTGATACAAGGATGTGCCGTAGGGCGTGGGTTCGATCCTTACTTGGCGAAATTTCGAGGTTCGTTTTTTCGCCTGGTGTGGTCGAGCTCATGCCCGAGATGGAGCGTGTACCACTCAAAAAGAAGACCCGGGCTGTGAGCTGGAAGCGATAGGAAAACCATAAGTAAGAGCCCGAGGCGAGGACTCATAAGGCTGGCAATAGATGGAGCACACCACTCCCATGATGAAGTCGGAAGCGAGAATCACACTCACAAGAGGGCGTCGGATGCGAGAGCCAAGGCTCTGGTGGAGCGCATGATGGCGCCTGAAGCGAGAACCACACTCACAAGACGACAACAGAAAAGGAGGAGTTCAAAAACTCACGGAGACTCAAAGCGTAGCGCCGGAAACGAGAACCACACTCACAAGATGTAGCCGACAAAGCAAATTGGGCACTTGCCATCGTCGGCAGAAGCGAGAACCACACTCACAAGATGGCACTAGACAGCGAGTTCTGAAGAAGATGTCCAACTCAGGAGGAGGTGTAAGCAATGTGTGTCCACGCAGACGGCTCTGAAGAAGGGGATACGACAATCGACGATGGCAGCGTGCAGGATCGGAGGTTCACCAAGCAGATAAAGATGGGTCCCTGAACCCCTAATCGCCCCATATCCCTATGCGACGGATGGGGGATGTATGGAAAACAACAACTAACAGAAGTAGCAGAAATGCTCAACTAACTCCGGCCTCACCGAAGCAATGCCTCACGGCGGATTTCGGTGAGTGTCCGAATGAGGTGGAGTAGAAAAAAAAAAAAAAAAAAAACAGACATTTGTTGGTAATTCAATGTAGTTTCCAAATATGTAAACCAAATTGTCCTACGAGGTCTGGTTCAAAATCTCGTTTTCGAGCCTATCACAGAGCTTCCTCTATGAGGAAGCAAAAAAATGAAGTTGTTTTAGGGAAAACACAACATTTTTCTAAAACGGATATTAAATCAACAACTAAGACTTGGCTAAAAGAGGCAAAAAAAGGCATATTCGAGATACAGCTAAGAAGGAAAAAGAAAGAGATCAACAGGAACTTAATCAAGAAGAATAATTTGGATTATTACAATTTGTTTTTTAAAACGTCAAATTTTTGCACCCATATTTAGGAATAAATTCATTTTTTTTATAAAAACAATCAGTCTTAATAAAAAGTAAATGCATTGTTTCAGAAACTAAATAATATGACTGTTATATTAATACGTCATTATGCAGACAAATTAGTTCGGGAAACACAAGAATTATTAAAAGATACTGATCTCATTGTTCAACGAATTGAAGAAATTTATGAAGCAGCTTCAACATTTATAAAAAATTTATATTGATAAGATGGATTTTTTGATAATATGCGACGAATGACTGAGTGAAAATAAAAAATAATGGTTTAATAACATTATAGCGCAGTGTAAAATTAATGTATGTCTATTTTTTAGATTATATTGGATTAATAATTCAGACAATGTTACTTAAACAGTCTTGACGATTACTTAACTATAGCATGTTACTTAAATACAGCTGCTGAGTTTTGCAATGCGTCATACAATTGGAATTATGAGATGACTGGCGTGGATTCTAAAGTTAAAAGTATTTCTTGCAATTGCAAAAAGTTTTTTCAAAATTGCAGGTATTTTATAATAGTACACTTATATACGTTAAAATTAATTTTCAATTAAAACAGGTTTCTATTAAAAAAAATATTTTTCTCAGATGTAGTCCAAAACTGCGGTGGAAACAGTTGTTGTGGAAAATTTGTTGGGAAGTTTCGAAATCACGCTATGCATAACTCCAACATGACAATCAAGAATTATATAGAATAATGTTTGAAGCTTTAGAAACAAGATTAAAAAATACTCGACAATCTGATTTTATAAATGGATTGTATGCGGGTAAACTTCATTGTTACATTTATTATTGAAGATAATTTCACATTATTTATTTTTTTGGTCTAATAAATGTGTGTGTGTGTAAAGTGACAGGAAACAGTTAAAAAACTAGAGATGATACTTGCCTTGATGTTCCATTGCCAGTAAGGTCATATGATTCAAGTGTAACATACGAGAGTATGGTAAGCTGCCACTTTTTGTAAATAAAATATTTTGACTAAATAAATAAAACCTTGGTATTTATTTTTAGCAACAAGCCTTAGAAACATTTGTAAAATATGTGACGGGGCACAAGGCACATAAGCGTCGCGCCGTGAATTTGAGCATAAGTCGCGCGAGCATGTGTGTGTGTGTGTGTATGTTTTCGTGACTTACAGGCCGAGAAGAACAGCAGCAGCGGCAGCAGCAGTCAACGACGTTTCGGCACGTGCGGCGGCGTACGCGTGCGAGAGAGATAGACTACTGCGCGTGAGCAGACGTGCCGACGCGCAACAGATCGACACAGAATAGCTGGAGCAAGCAACACGGAGACACGTGAGATACACGGCAGCCATTAAGTTTTCGAGGTTATCGCAAGATTAAAAAGTGCGAAGGTAGAAGTGAAGAGCCACATCATCGTTAGATGTGATTATTCTATAATCTTCTACCGGGACGCTACACGACAAGGAGACGGTAACGTATGCCCCGAGAATCGTTTGCGGACGAACTCGTTAGCCAAACGCACGACGGCGGGTGCAATGGGTGCGCGAAGCGCATGTCGCGCCGATACGTCCAAGTTCTGCGACCACCTATGACTCTTTGTATGGTGTGACCTAGTAACGACAACAACCATGGATTGCTAGGTCACGACCCGAAAATTTGTAGCAGGCGTCGGAGCTCGCAAGAGGAAGCAGAACTATGATATCTGAGCTCGTGTGGGCGCCACACGACGAGGAGACGGTAACGTATGCTCCGAGAATCGTTTGCGGACGAACTCGTTAGCCAAAACGCCCGCCGGCGGGTGCAATGGGTGCGAGAAGCGCATGTCGCGCCGATACGTCTAAGTTCTGCGACCACATATGACTTTTTGTATGGTGTGACCTAGTAACGACGGCAACCATAGATTACCAGGTCACCATCTGAAAAATTCGAGTGGAGTCGGAGCTTGCAAGATGCATGAACGGATAGATTCGACTGTAAGAGAAGAGTCTCGTTCGATAAGCACTCACCGGCAGATACAATCTCGCGCAAACGCGCACCGCATCGATATGTCCAAGTGTAGTGACACTCATTTCCATTTTCTATGTCGGACCTAGTAACGGAAGAAACCATAGGTTACTAGGTTATTACCTAAAAATCTAAAAGGAGACGAAGCTTGCAGAAAGTGGCAGAACGAAGATACCTGGGCAAGTGCATAACGTCATGCGACAAGGAAACGGTAACGTATGCTCCGAGAATCGATAGGTACAATCTAGTTCGCCAGGCACACACCAGCAGGTGTAATTTATGCGCGAT